GCATAAAAGCCGGGCAGGTAGCCCCAGTAAATCAGTTCTGCTTGACCTTCAAACGAAGTGTCGTCTCGTTCTTGGTGGGAATTGGAATGTATGCTGTTACAGTGCGACTGCCAGGAGTGTAAACTGTTTGTATGTTTTTTCCTGTTCGGCTGTTTACAGCATTCGTGTGTTTCCTGTTCGGGAGTTTGGAGCATTACCCTGGTTCCAGTTCGGGAGATTGGTGAATTCATGTGTTTGCAGTTCGGGAGATTGGTGCTTGCAGTAGCTGCCTGTGCATCTGAAAGGGGAATATCACGTAAACGGTTTTTAACCTCTTGTGTGCAAAACGGTCCATTACAATTGGTGGCAAGCAGCAGAATCATTCCCACAGCCCAGAAGGGCAGCTACAAGGCAACACCAGTTCCTTGATTACAAAGAGAGTACGCGTACAGCGCCCTGACCTACGAAAGAACCAACTTCAGCAGCGCAAGCATGGCACCCAGTTTCAGTCAAGAGGAGTTTGACGCTATGTTGAAAAGGCTGCTGGCTTTCTTCAGACCCAATCCAGAGGAGAAATACGTACAGAGCACGAGGAAAATAGCAGCAGAGAGTGTCAGGGAGAGGAGCCTGCTACCCCCTCTCCCCAGCGGCTGAAAGTGTTCCAGGGAGAGGATGTGGTGACCACCTCTCCCCAGCGGCAGCTTATTTCACAAAGGGGAGACCCTATTCTCCCAGATTGGGCAGATCAGACAGTCAGTCTCGCTCCCCAGCAGCAGGGAGAGTGTCAGGGAGAGGCGCTTGTCACCCCCTCTCCCCAGTGGCAGTCTATAGTTCAGGGAGAGGAGCTTGTTACCCCCTCTCTCTGCAGCGGCAGCCTAGCCCACCAAGGGGAGATAAGCCCCACACCAGTGCAGATGGGACCGTGGTCTCTGCACATGCCTCACAGGGGCTAGGGATGGTCGGTCCTGTCCTCCAGCAGCAGTACCAGGGCCGGAGTGAGGAGCCTACTACACCATCCCCTCAACTGGGCTCCAACCAGTTTACTCCCGTGGTAGTGCGGGCAACAGGGCAGAGAACCGCTGGTCTCTGCCCACTCCGCAACCCACCGATTTGGAGTGCTAGTATCCCCCAGAGCCGAGGTGGAGCTCCTGGACATGGACAAGCGACCCACTACCCCAGGTGGAGTAACCCTTTATTGTGGGTGGGCTGTACTGCTGATTGTGTTCTGGTTGCCCGCCTCCTGCCGCTGGACTATGGCCCCATGTTGAAAACCTTTTATTTTCCCTGCAGAAAGGCTTATTCGTGCCTTTTCTCCTGCAAAGAAATGAGCACCGGTTCATTCGGGACATTCATTATGTGAACAATGTTACCCCAGATAGTTATGCCATGGAGCCCATTCGTATACCGAATAACTGTATGAAAGACCTTGGCTCTATGGTGATTGAACTATGAA